TCCCGGGTGGGATTTTTGGGGGGTCCCGGGTGAGATCTTTGGGGTTCCCGGGTGGGATTTTTGGGGGGTCCCGGGTGAGATTTTGGGGGGTCCCGGGTGGGATTTTTGGGGACTCGCACCGCTGCACCGCGGAGGGGGCGTGCCCTGAGGCGGAGGGGGCGTGGCCTGGGGCAGCGGCAGCCAATGGGAGCGCTCCCCGTGCCGGTGGCCGCGCGTGCGCCCTGCGCGGCCCCGAGCGGCGGCGGCGGGAGCGGGAGCGGAGGTAGGACAGGGATGGACCGGGATAGACCGGGCCGGGCCGGGATGGACCGGGATAGGCACGGCAGTCCTGCCATGCGACGGGGAGCCGGCTGCGGGGACGGGCCCCGCGGGGACGGAGGCAGCGGGGCGGGGGGAGCGGGCTGGGGCCGGCCCCGAGCCCCGGATGGGGATGGGGGATGCAGGGAGGGATGAAGGATGCAGGGAGCGGCTGTTTGGGGTTTGGGACCGGTCCTAGAGCCCTGGGGCAGCCCTGGGAGCTCGTTTTGGGACAGCCCGTGGGGTCTGGGGCAGGGGAGGGTGCAGGACCCTGTTAGGGGGTGCAGGACTCAGTTTTGGGGTGCAGGGCCCAGTTATGGGGTCTGGCACCACCAGTGGAAGCTCTGGGACCAGGCAGCGGCGGTGGGATGGGGAGAGGGGTGGGATGGGGCAGGGACCGGGCGGCAGCAGCAGCTCCGGCCCGGGGGGCACTGGCAGGATTGGGGGTCCCTGTGGGGTGCGATGCCCGGGGGATCTCCCGGTTCCGCTGCCCGTCTGTCCGGCCCGGGCTGCGATCACGGGGAAGGAAGGGACAGGACTCTGTCCGGAGGCTCGGGGACAGCCCAGGGTGTCGGTGAGCCAGGAGCGGCTCCGCTGCCAGCCCCGGGACAGCCGCAGGGCTCCGGGCAGCGCTCCTTGCCGCAGGACTCGTGGAGCGCCGCTTGCTCCGCAGGCCCCGCTGGCTCCCACAGCACCGGCATGGGCCCGGGGGGTGCAATTTGGGGTCCCGCTGGCCCTGTGCCCCCCGCTTTGCGGCAACCCCTGCGCGGGATTTCGGGAAGCTGACGTCGCTGGGGTCACGCTCGGCTGTGCCAGCGGTTTTATTCCCGGCCCCGAGCGGCGGGGGGGATGTGCGGGTTGCGGCCGGGACCGGTGATCTCCGGGAAGCGGAGCCCGGGCAGATGGGAAGGCTTTGCCCGGCCTCGGGAGCTGCGTGCTGCTGTCGTGGCATCGCTCCCGGGCACATCCCTCCCGGGCAGCCGTCCCTTCGCGTGGCAGCGGTTTGTCCCCGTGCCCCGGCCCGATAAAGTAGGTCAGGCGCTGGCTCCGGGCTCCCGGAGCGCATCCCGGTGGAAGGACGCCCTTGAAGGTAGCGGCCAGGAGGCCGGGGGGCTCCGGGGGGGTCGCAGCTGACGGCGGGGATGGCGAGGCTCGGTGTTCTTTGGTGTTTGTCCCGGGATGCTGGGCTGGGTGTGCTCGGCACGCTCCTGCTGTGCCGTGCCCCCGGGTTCCAGCAGCTCGGAGCCCCCCGGAGTTCCAGCAGCTCGGAGCCCCCCGGGATGTGCCTCTTCGGGCCCTTCTCTCCCGCAGGGGCGGCTCCTCCACCTCGTTTTGCCCTAAAACGGAGCGAGCCCGTGCAGCGCTGCCGAGCTCTGCCCTTCCTGCCTTTCCTTTGGCAGCGGGGGAAAGTTGAGGTCCGGTTTTCCAGCCTGGGTGTATCCGGCTCAGCCCGGCTTTGGGAGAAACCCCCCGGAGGGGTTTTGGCAGCGGAGAGAGCTGCGTGCCTTGGCACGGGCCGGGCCGTCGGTGCGCAGGGAGCGGGAGAGCTCCCGGTGGCACCGGGGATTTGGGCAGCGCTCGGATGGAAAGGGCAGCCAGCGGGACGTGCGGCCAGCCGGGACAAACCTTTGGCACGTTGGGCTGTGTGCCAGCACCTGTGGGAGTCACCGGCAGCCTGGATGTCCCACGGAGCCCAGGAGGACCCACCTGGAAGGGTGGATTGGGATAGAGAGGCAGGGGAAGGGGCTGAGCTCGCTGGGGGATGCTGAAGAGGTCCCTCGGGTCCCCCCACCCAGCGGGGTGTTCCCAGCAGCAGCACCGCTCTGGATGGGATCCCTCCCTCGTTTTGGGAGGAGAGGGGTTAAGTCAAAGCATCCGAGCTAAGCCCTAGCAGGAGAAGGCTGAAAGCTCCCGGAGAACAAAGCTCACAAAGTGGTGCTAAAGCTGGTAAAACCTGTGGGAATGTGGGAGCCTTCAGGGGCAGTGGGGTCCTGCATGGGGAGCGGGGTCCTGCAGGACCCCAGAGCCCCTCGGTGTGGAAATCCTGGCCTCAGGTTATTTTTGGAACAATTGCTTGGCCGGACTACAAAAATGTCCTGGTTTTTGGAAGAGACTGGAGCCTGTGAGCCGCCAGCACAGGCCAGGCTTTGCAGGGTGTCCAGGGCTGGGTCGGGAGCACCAGGAACCCCTCCAGGGGGATCAGGAGGTGCACCTGGAGCCCCACCCTGGGACTGGGGTGGCTGCTGCATTGATGGAGGCAGCAGACTTTTATTTTCTCCTTGCCAATCCCAAATTTGCCATCCACCTTGCAGGGAAGCTTTCCCAGGAAGGCAGCCCGAGCTCCAGGCTCTTGGGTGCCTCCCAAGGTGGACGTGCAGGTCGTGCCTGGCGTCCCCTCCTCTCCCTGAGCCCCCTCCTTTGCAGCTCGGGCTGTGCCACCCCTCTTTTATCAATTGCCGGCCCATATGAAAGGGACAGAGAGGGCAAGGATTGATTCTGGGCAAACACTATAAAGGCACCTACAGTTAGAGCGGGGAAGCAGTCGGTTCATGGTAATTATCCTGGTTAAATTATAACCTAATGAACAGGCCACCTCTGTCCCCGGGGCTGCCGTGTTCCTCCGAGCGCTGGCATTGCCGTGTGTGTGTCCCAGCCCCGGTGACACCGAGGGGACCCACGCGTGGCCAGGGCTGGAGCGTCACCCTGCAGAGCTGATTTGGGGCTGGCACAGCTGGGTTTTGGTGCAGCCCTGCCTGCTTCCCGACCATCCTGCTCTTCCCAGGGTCCCCGAGGTGCTGCGGAGCTGGAGAGCCCCCAGGAGCCGTGTCCTGGCAGCCCCCCACGGTGAGTGAGGGGCTTGGGGTGGCTCAGGGGGGAGGAGGAGGAGGGCATTGCATGGAAAGATTGTGGAAAAATGCTGAGTTCTCCTCAGGATCTGGGTGCTCGCAGCGCTGTTCCCGCTTTCCCTGAGGATAAATCCATCGCTGGGGTGGAGGAGCTGTGGTTGGAGCGCTGGGAATGCCAAAGCCAACAGCAGTGTGGTTTTTCTCCCAGCATCCCAGAGGCACCATGATCCCCAGCGTGGGCCCCCGGAGCTGCTGCCTGCTCCTGCTGCTCTGCCTCCTCCCCTGCCCGCAGGTCCGGGCGGGCAGGGACAGCCCCGGCGTCTCCGCAGCCTCCTTCCTGCAGGATCTGCTCCAGCGCTACGGGGAGAGCCAGACCTTGAGCCTGAAGCAGCTCAAGGCCCTGCTGAACCGCCTGGATGTGGGAGTGGGACACGCCAATGTCTCCCGAACATCTCAGCAGCGCCTGAACCTCTCCCGTGTAAGGAGGGAACCCCCAAAACCTCCCTGTGGGCCCCCAGAACTTCCCTGCAGAGTCCTGAGATCTCCCTGCAGAGCTGTGGGGGTCTCAAGGCACGTTTCTGTCCCTTCCCTCCCCCAGTGCTTTAGCTCCGTGGAGCTTTTTGCCATCCACAACCTGAGCGAGGGCTCCGCTGTGGGGCACAGCGAGTTCAAGGAGTTCTGCCCCACCATCCTGCAGCAGCTGGAGTCGGGGGCGTGCGCCTCCGAAAACCTGGAAAATGAGGAGAATGAGCAGACAGAGGAGAGCAGGCCCAGCTCAGCTGAAGGTAATTGGGGTGCTGGGGGGGTGCTACAGGCACTGCCTGGTTCTGGGCACGGAGATTGGGGACATGAGGAACAGCCAGTTCCCACTCCTGGGAGTTTCCTGCCTCCAGCAGCTGGCAATCCTGACCGAGTTTTCCTCTCTGTGGATCTGTGGATGGTGCCATGGTTTGGTTTTGCTGGGATAACCTCTGTGCCTCCAGGATAGCTGGATGAGGAGGGGACTCTGCTGAGGGCTCCCCTGGGTGGGAGGGGGTGACCTGGAGGGACCTGCTGGCCTCCAGCCACCAGCAGATGCTCAGCCAGCTCCCGCCCATCCTGGTCCTGACGATGCCCAAGGTCTTGGATCAGCTGCCCTGAGCACAGCTTGGCCTCTCCCACGCTGGGGCTGGCTCGGTAAAACTTTTTCCAAGGAACCCTGTGACTTCATTCCCACCTTCCCTGCACCAAACACGATGGTTTTGTCGCAGCTGGAGCATCTGGAGCACAGGGAGCAGCCCCGGAGCCTTTCCCACCCGCCCGGGTCCGGGCTCTCCGAGAGCCTCGGTAATGTCTGGCCCTCGTTTCTTCTCGTTCCGCAGTGTGGGGCTTTGGTTTTCTCAGTGTGTCCATGATTAACGTGGCCTCCCTGCTCGGAGTCCTCATCGTCCCGTGTTCCCAGAAGGCCTTTTTCAGCCGGGTGCTGCTGTTTTTCATCGCGCTCTCCATCGGCACGCTGCTCTCTAACGCGCTCTTCCAGCTCATCCCAGAGGTGCGGTAGAACGTCCCTGCCTCTCTCCCGTCTCCAGGGCAGCTCCGTGGGTGCCCTCTCTGCCTCCACCCCGCCGAATCGATCCGACCCCTCGTCACCCGAGGCTCAGGGCTTGGCTCAAGGGGCTGTGCAGGGCTTTTCTCACCCCTCTGAGCACCAGGAAACCCTCAGTGTCCTCCGTCCCTGCCACGTCTGGGGAATGGGAATGTGCTGGGAGAAGCTGTTTGCTCCTGCTCTGGGTGTCCAGGAGTTTATCCCTTGGAGGGATGTGCTCAGCCACACTTGTGGCAGCAGTACTGGCATGAGCCAGAGGGAAAAAATGTGAAATATCCATGTAAATATCATCAGATATCCATATAAAAGCATGGAGAACAGCCTAGAGAAGCACTGGCTTCCTCTGGAATCAGCCAACTTTTACAAATCCTTTAATTCCCTTTTTTTCCCCCTTACCTGATTTCCCAGCCTGATGTTCCCACAAGGGTTCTGGCTTCCATGAGGTTTCCTGATGCTCTGATGGGACCGACAGAAACACCGCAAATTAATTGTGTTGTAATTGCACAGTTCTGGAGCTGAATAAATCCACCCGGACTGGAAACCTTTGGAACGTTGTCCAGGTGCCTCTTCAGAGGATGAGCTGGATTTGGCACATCCAACCTTAAAATTCCAGCGGGTTTTTCCCCCTGGCGTTGCCTGTTTGCTGCCGGGCAGCGAACGCCTCATCCGTGCTGGCAGTGGGATGTTTTTCCAAGCTTTTCAGCTCCAGAACTGCAACTTTTATTTGCTGGACATAGAAACCAAGCACCTCTAATTCCTGATCTGCCAGGAATTGAAATGCCAGAGGTACGCTCCAGCCCCCCCAGCACCCGGAGCGCCCCGGCAGGGACCGGCTGCAGGACAGGGCTGGAGCGTACGAGGTGCTCGGGGGACCCGGATGCTCTGTGGCTTGGGAATGACCCAGGGAGCAGAGCTGGGCGCTGGCTGGGACATGGCCTGGCTGCCAAAACTCAGCAGAGATTCCCAAAGCCGCCGAGCGCCGGGTTCGCCCTTTGGAGGTGGCGCCAGATGAACAACAATCACTAATGAATGTCCTCTTCTCTCCCTCCCTCCTCTCTCTGTCCTGTCGGTGCGGATTCCTCCCCTGCCCATCCCCACGTTGATCTCGTCCCTTCCCGTCTCCCGTCTCCCGGGGTGGGTTTGGCTCTGCCAGTCTGGGGTTACGGTTTCCTCTGCGTCTCCGTCATCTCCCTGTGCTCGCTGGTGGGAGCCAGCGTGGTGCCCTTCATGAAGAAGACCTTTTACAAGCGGCTGCTCCTCTACTTCATAGCTCTGGCGATTGGAACTCTCTACTCCAACGCCCTCTTCCAGCTCATTCCCGAGGTAGGGAGAGGACTGGCGGGTCTGTGCTTTTCTCTCTCTCTCTGGGGCTGTTTCTCTCTCTCTCTGGGCGCTCGCTGGCTGGACAAGGGGAAGGCGGCATCGGAGGGGAGCCCAGAGCGAGGTATGGAGGGCTGGAAGCCCCTCGGAGCTGGAGTTTGGAAGGGAATGGCTCCAGGGAGATCCCCGGTCTGCTTCAAGCAGAGAATCGTTGTTTTATTGCCTTTTCTGGCTTTTTCTAGCCCTGGAGGTAGGTCCCCCAGGGGGTTTGGTATCCCTGCCCCAGGGCGGGTGCTGGATCCAATGGCTCAGGGCACAGCCGGCCTGGAGGAGGGAGTGAGGGAGATGAAAGGTGCACAAAGGTGTTTCCTGGGCTTGTCCCCAAAGCAGCTGCTCCTCAGAGAGAGCTCAGAGCTGTGTCACCCCTCCAGTGTCACCCCAGGGGCAAAGGCAGATGAAGGACACTGCCAGGGCCTGCTCCTCATCCTCTCCCGGGTCCCCTCCTGCCTGCAGGCATTTGGATTCAACCCTCAGGAAGATTATTACGTTTCCAAATCCGCTGTGGTGTTCGGGGGCTTCTACCTCTTCTTCTTCACGGAGAAGATCCTGAAGATGCTCCTGAAGCAGAAGGACCAGGTGAGGTGGAGCAGGGGATGGTGGGGTGGGAAAGAGCAGGAATTTCAGGATGGAGGGGTGGGACACAGCAGGAATATTGGGATAATGGGGTCGGAAACAGCAGGGTTATTGGGGTGGCAGGGTGGGGAAGAGCAGGAATTTCAGGGTAGTGGGGCAGGAAAGAGCAGGAATATTGGGATGGCTGACAGCCCTGAATCCCTGATCCTGCAGCACCACCACGGGCACAGCCATTACGGCCCCGAGGCTCTGCCCTCCAAGAAGGACCGGGAGGAGGGGGTCACGGAGAAGCTGCAGAACGGAGACCTGGACCACATGATCCCACACATCACCAGCGACCTGGAGTGCAAGCCCCCCTCGGGGGATGAGAAGGCCGTGGTGGGCTCCCTCTCTGTCCAGGTGAGCACCTCATCCCGTGGCATTGTGGCAAAATCCCACCTGTCAGTTAAAACCAGTTCTGCAGCCCAAATTCTCTGTGTGTGGTGGGACCAAACAGGGCGGGTTTAATGATTAGTGGGGTGGTTTTCCCATCTGGAGGAGGGATCAGTGACCCCATTTGGGTGCTGATCCCCATTTTGGGGTGCTGTGGCAGGACCTGCAGGCCTCCCAGAGCGCGTGCTACTGGCTGAAGGAGGTGAGGTACTCGGACATTGGGACACTGGCCTGGATGATCACGCTCAGCGATGGCCTCCACAACTTCATCGACGGCCTGGCCATCGGCGCCTCCTTCACCGTGTCTGTTTTCCAAGGGATCAGCACCTCCGTGGCCATCCTCTGTGAGGAGTTCCCACACGAGCTGGGTAGGTGACTCCTTGGGGCTGCCCCTGCTCCTGCTCGCTGTGGAGTCTGTCCTTTGTCCATCCAGAAAGGCAGATTTGGGGTGGAATAAAGAGTGATGCTGCTGAAAGGGGGGAGAGGGAGGGCTGTAAACTGCTCTGAGTAATCGCCGCTCTAAAAATAACGAGGTAATATGATGTCTGAGATTTAAATTTAGATGGAGGCATCTGAAGACAAAAAAAAACCCTCAACACCTCCTTGGTTTGGGAGGGGAGAGGCGGGTTTGGGTGGGAATGTCTGAATTTGGAGTGGTCACTGGAGGGGAGGTGGGTTTGGGTGTGAGTCTGTGGGTTTAGGGACAGTGCTGTGGTCAGTGAGTGGGAGGCAAGTTTGGGTGTGAATGTCCAAATTTAGGGGCAGTTGAGGTGAGAGGTGGGTTTGGGTATGAATGTCTGAATTTAGGAGTAGTGGAGAGATCAGTGCAGGAGAGGCAGGTTTGGGTGTGATGTCTGAATTTAGGGGCAGTGTGATGGTCAGTGCCCAGTGCCAGCAGCCACAGGGAGCCCACACTTGAGCTGGCACATGCTGTGATGTTGGGGGTGTTCTGTGCACTCCAGGGCTTGGACTCTGATCCTTTGTGTCCATTCCAACTTGGGATATTCCGGGTTTCTGAGTTCAAGCCGGTGCTGTCCCAGTGCTGCTGTCAGCCCTTCCCTCCTCATCCTCCCATCTTCTTCTCCCTCAGGGGACTTTGTGATCCTGCTCAATGCTGGGATGACCATTCGCCAGGCGCTCTTCTTCAACTTCATCTCTGCCTGCTGCTGCTACGTGGGCCTGGCCTTCGGCATCGTGGCTGGCAGCCACTTCTCTGCCAACTGGATCTTTGCTCTGGCTGGAGGGATGTTCCTGTACATAGCACTGGCTGACATGGTAAATCCTGAGCCCCAAATCCTGAGCCTGGATCCCTGAGCCCTTGGATTTTTTTCCTAGGAAAAGCTCTGCTTTCCCTCAGCCTGCAGGCACGGCAGGGTTTGCTCTGTCCCCTTGGCACATGCAGATATCTCTGCTTTGCTTTGCCTGGCTGAAATCCTCAGGATGGGAGGCTGGTGGATGTTTGCTGAGGAAGGATGGGGCTGTCACTGAGCTTTGTTTCCCCCTGCAGTTCCCTGAGATGAACGAGGTGAGCCGGGAGGATGAGCAGAACGGCAGCGCCCTGATCACCTTCGCCATCCAGAACGCGGGGCTGCTCACGGGCTTCACCATCATGGTGCTGCTCACCATGTACTCAGGGCAGATCCAGATAGGGTAGGAACAGCCCGAGCTGCAGCCCTGATCCAATTTTTCCATGGTTTTTTTTTGGGGGCGGGGGGAAGGGTTTTCTTTTTTTTTTTTCTTTCCTTTTCCTGCTGCAAACATACGACGGTACCTGTGCGGGCACTGACGTCACACTACAGGAGAGACATTGCTTTGAAAGCTATTCCATGGATTTTTTTTTCTGGTTTAAGGCTGAGGGGAGTGGAATTCCCCCTTTCCATAGGACTGACCTGACTTTGTCCAGTGTCATATCCCTTCTCTCCTCGCCTCTCCCAGGAAGGATGCAATGGGGAGACAGGAGCTGCTCCAGCCGTGCTGCTCCTCTCGCTGTGCTTGGAGCGTTCCCATGGCACACGAGGCTGTCCTGACCCCTCTGGGGGGTGTGCTGGGGACAGACAGGGACAGACCCTTCTCAGAGTGTTCCCCACAGCCAGCCCTCAGCACTGTGCTCTCCGAGGATGAGGAGGTTCATGATGTCACCATCATCTGACTGCTTTTGCTCCGTTTCAGCCCGGACAATGCCCTGGCAAGAGCAGGGTGAAGAGGGCAGGGGTTTTAAAGCACATTTTGGGTGTCAGTGCTCAGAGCAGAGCACACCAAACTGGGTTGGAGTGACACTTGGGCTGCTGGGAGAAGCCTGCCAGGATGCCCTGACCCTCCCTTCAGTCCATGCTGCTGGAATGAGGGGCAAACCCCAGCTCCTCCTCCGTGAGGGCTGCTCAGAAGGGAGCAGAGATGAGAGCAGAGCCCTGCCCGGCCGCAGGCTCCAGCCCAGGGATTTCTCCTCAGGCTGTGTCCAAGCTCACGGTGACACCCAAGAACAGCCACCAGTTTTTAAACAGTGCTAAGGTTCAGGGTGGGGTGGGGGGTGTTTTTAAAAGCAAAACTCAGACTGTGAACCTCTTTAGGTTGTGTGTTCCCAGCCTTAGGGAGTAGCCAGAGAAGGGTGTTCCAGGCACTTCCCAGCTCTGCCTCCGGGCTGGCGTTCCCCAGATTCACTAAGTGAATTACTTATTATCATATTGATAAGGTTGTCCACCCCACCTGTGTTGCTTGAGGTTCCCTCACACACCTTTGGCCCCCAGACCCCTCGTCCTGTACCTGGTGTGAGCTTGTGGTCGTGTGGATTCAGGGGAATCCCTCGTGGTTTGGCGCTGGATTGGGATGGAGAGGTGCAGGTGCTCTGCAAGTGTTTGTGAGGTGTCTTCCTTCACTGCCCACCTGTGCAGGTGTGTGGGGTGTGACAGGGTGGTGGCACTGTGCTGGAGCAGAGGCTCCCACACCTTCCCGTCACCCTCTGAGGAAGGCAAACCTGAGGCTGTGCCAGGTATTATTCCTGCCCATCTCAGGACAGAGGGCCCTGGCACAGGCTCAGCACCCCGGCAGCGTTGTACCCTGGCTGGATCTCTGTAATCCCTGAATTCCTGTAGTTCCCAGCTGGGTGATGTTCTTCCTAAGCTCCCAACAGCTGTCACTGAGCCCGTGCCCTCTGGCACTGCCAGGATCCTCATGGATCACCACCTGCACTCTCAGTGGCTTTTCTAGTCTGGGTATTTGTCCCCTCAGCACCCTCCAGCTCTTGGCTTTGTCCTGCACCCCAAAACCTAAATATCAATTCTGGAGGAGCCTTTTTGGGGTGACCTGAAGGTGCCACACGGTCCTCGGTTGATTCCCTCAAGGAGAGACAGGCTCTGCTTTGTCCTGTCTGCTGTCCCTTGTGGATTGCCACCAAAAGTCACTTTTGCCACTGGAGCAGAACAGCGTGGCCTGTGCTGGCTGGGGCAGTCATGAAATTCATCACCTGGCAGGCATTCCCTGTGCTGCAGGTTCCAGGGCCGAAGGGGCATTGGAAACACTTTTTCCTTGCTTGAGAGAGTCAGCCCCAGCTGACTGCCTTGATGTGGAAAATCTGAGTCCTTTCACTGGCACAGGTGCCCTCTCCCCCCTCTCAAGGAAGCACTTGGAAAACGCTGTGTGGCTGGCAGGGCACGGGAGCTGCATCCTGGCTGGAAAAGCCTCTGTGGGGGAGGACAGGGGGAAATGGGGGGTTTGTCCCCTCTGGACTGTGCCTGGGAGGTCCCCAGGAGCTGGGAAGTGGCAGAGAGCAGAGCTTGGCGTCCTCAGAGCCGGCAGGATTCACTGTGGGCATCACGACCTCTCGTTTCCAGTTTTTATCCCTGTTTCCTGAGAAATCTGCAACCCGGAGATTTGGGATTGGGGGGGTGAGAATCGAGGCTGCCCTGCCACCAAGGAGAGCTCCTGTTCCCCCTGGGCAGGCTGGCACCTGCCAGGGAAAGGGCTGGGAACCCACCCAAACCGAGCCCCTCGTGGATTTTCATCCGTGTCTCCTTCCCCTCGAGTTCCATCTCAGTATTTCAATTACAACTCAGGTGTTGTAGGAGAGAAACAAAGAGCGTTAACTTAAATGTCACGTGAATTGTACAGATATTTGTAAAATTCCATAAATAAAATATATTCTGTAATGACGGAGGGTCCCGGGCGTGCTCCGCAGTGAAATCTCCCGGCTGGTGGCGGATGGAGGGGTGGGAGCGCTGCTGGCTCAGGATTTTTCCAAGGGGAAGGCTTGGAGCCGGGCTGGGTGATGCAATCCCGCTTTTCCAGCTGGATTTCCCTGGCTGTGCAGTGCGGCACGGCTGACGGAAGGTGGCACTGAGAACCCCCAGCCTGCCCGCATGGCACGGCCTTTGCGGCTCCAAAAACCCTTCCTCAATTATTTATATATATATATATTTTAATTTTTTAATTGATCTGAAATGTATTTCCAAGCCCTGGTTTGGCTGGGAGGTGTGGGATGCTGGATTTGTCCCCAGCTCACACTAGCCAGGCTCCTGGCAGTGTTTGTGTCCTTGTTTTCCTACCCTCCATTAGGGGAAAAAAAAAAGAAAAAAAAAAGCAACTTTGCTTTTCTACTTCCCCTTTTTTACCTTTTTCTATACCATTTCTCCCCCATCTGCCAGCTCTGAGCAGCAAACTCAATTTTTAGATACCCTGTTGCAGCTAAAGAAACCAAAGCTTGATATTCTGAGGTGTTTTATTTAAAAAATTAATGTTTTATTAAGCAAGGAAGGTCACAGTGAGCATTGCTGCTGATCAGCACTTCCAGGGGGGCTTTGGGTGGGCTCTTTTCTGCTGCAAACTCCTTGTGTTCTGCTGAATGCCTGGAACCTGAGTTACCTCCGAAAACGCTGCTGGATGGGGTCATGGAATTCCTGCAATGGTTTGGGTTGGTTAAAACCCATCCAGTGCCATCCCATGGCAGGGACACCTTTTACTATCCAAAGTTGCTCCAGCATGACCCTGGACACTTGCAGGGATCCAGGGGCAGCCCCAGCTGCTCTGGGAATCCCATCCCAGCCCTCCCCACCCTCCCAGCCAGGAATTCCATCCCGGTATCCCAACCAACCCTGTCCTCCTCCGTCCTCAAGCGGTAGGTGCAGACCATCATCCGTTCTTCCTTTCCATCAAAAATTTTCTGTCTAAGGAGTATCAGCTCTGGAGCCAGGCTGGGAGTGTTCAGCTGGGGAAGGGAAGGATCCAGGGAGAGCCCTGAGTTTCTTCAGGGCCTGAAGGGAGCCAGGAGAGCTGGAGAGGGGCTGGGGACACGGGGTGGAGGGACAGGACCCAGGAACGGCTCCCACTGCCAGAGGTGGGTTAGATGGGATATCGGGAAGGAAAGTCCTTTCTTAATGACTTTCCGGCACCTTTCTCCATGTCCAGTCTGGTTTTTTCCCCAAATGAAAGACGTTTAAAGTGTGTGTGGGAATTTTTAAACCCCTGAAATTTCAGTGTCCACTTTGTGTGGGAACCTCCCTGATGTGTTTCAGCAGGGACAGGGACTTGGCTTCCCACTGCCAGAGGGTAGGGATAAATGGGATATTGGGAAGGAATTCCTGGCTGTGAGGGTGGGAGGGGCTGGGATGGAATTCCCAGAGCAGCTGTGGCTGCCCCTGGATCCCTGCAAGTGCCCAAGGCCAGCTTGGAGCAACCTGGGACAGTGGGAGTTGTCCCTGGGCACGGCAGGGGTGGCACTGGCTGATCCTTACAGCCCCTCCCACGGCAGTGTGGGGTCCCACCGTTGTCCTCCCGCCGTGCCCGAGGGCTGAGCCCGAACAGCCCCAGCGCCATCCCCGCGCTCCCCCCTCAGCGCCGCCGCCATGTTGCCCCCCCGTTGCTTAGCAACGCCCCCTTCCCCTCCAAGATGGCGGGCGGGGCGGGGCGGGCGTGGCGCAGGCGCGGGCGGGGG